ATAGTGATGCCCTAGTCAGAAACAGGCAACCAAGTCACTTTCTGGATCTTGTGCTCTGCTGGAGGTGGAGAAAGCAAAAACAAAAAAAAAGAAAAGAAAAAGCAAACCAGGCTGAACTTGGGTCTAGTTTGTCAGAAATGTAATGATCAGCTCTTTGTACATGGAGAAGAACCACCAGTTCCTTGAGTCTGTGTGTAGTAAAATGGTAACTTGTGTTTGAAAGAGCAGCACATCAAATGCCATTCATCTTTACATCTCAGAATAAAGTTTACACTGGGGAAAAAGCAAAAACTGCAATAGGAATCAAGAAGTGAAATGACACCTGCAAATCATACCAGCAATTTTATAAACCAAACTAGAGGCCCGCCTTTGCAATTATTATCTGAGAATGCCAGATTGGTTACGCCAGGGCCATTAGCCTGCAGCCCTCCAGGTAGGTCAGACGGCATCTCCCGTGCATCTTCATGAGCTGTGCCAGCTAAAGCGGATGGGAATTGGAGCTCAAACCTATCTAGTGGGTTGCTATTGCCCATTTCATTTTATTTTGCCCTTTTACTACAGCTGTGTGTGTGCTTCAAAAGTGGCATTTAGAGCTGGACGTTAGATACTTTTACAAAACACTTTAAACCTTTCTCCTTGAAAGAATATATACCATTGTATTTCTCTTTATCAGAGCTTTAGCCCAGCAAATTGACACTTTCAGCCATGCAAATATTGTTCCCGGGAAGTTAGCAAGAGAAAAATGGATCAGCTTCTCAAAGATAAAATGCATTCTAATGATGAGAAGCTTACATTATAACAAATACTACAAGAGTCCTACAGGGCAGAGAGTTATGTGCATGTACGCATTAGTCTCACTATGTATTTCTTTCCAGTTCCAATGAAACTCATCTTTTGTTCTGTAGGATAGGCATTCTCCACAGGGCAGAGAGTTATGTGCATGTACGCATTAGTCTCACTATGTATTTCTTTCCAGTTCCAATGAAACTCATCTTTTGTTCTGTAGGATAGGCATTCTCCACAGGGCAGAGAGTTATGTGCATGTACGCATTAGTCTCACTATGTATTTCTTTCCAGTTCCAATGAAACTCATCTTTTGTTCTGTAGGATAGGCATTCTCCTTGAAAAGGAGATGATTGTTGCAGTTACTCCCTATCTGCTTAGTATGTTATCATCCTCAGTATTTTAATGACATTAGAAACTTGGATTCTTATTCTCTCCCACTCTGGCTCATTCATCCATTTAATAGCTTAAAAAAAAAATCATATTAGTCAACTCTGCTCTTGCCCTTATCAAGCAAGAACCTTGACGGCTTCAGTGACGAACAGAAGAGCCCAGTTAATAGCACCCTTGCTTTCCTGACCTTCTTTGGCCTTTGCCTGATTGCTTGTTGCACAAGGGTTCCCAAGTACAAGGCCTGGCCCATGCAGTACCTTGATTTGGACACTGCTTGAGATAATCACATGATATCACACAAACATCTTACTGACAGCAAAAAAATGCAAGGAAAATGATAGGGCAGGACAGTCTTGTGGATGAAACAGTTTCTCTACTCCTACTGGCATCACCTGGTGAATATGAATGCACCGTTGTAGATTCTTACCTGATCTTTCTGGCTAAGAGCAGCACATTGGCCTTAAATGCAGAGTTTCAGCAAAACTCCATTCTATGAACACATCCCTTGAAATTTACAGAATATGCTGGCTTGTGGTTCTAGTCTCAAGCAGAAGCGGATCTTGTAAAGCCAAACAATTCCCCAGTAACTGAGCTGAAAAAGAGGCTGGTGATGGCCCCCAGTTTCTCCTGCATATTCCCTTATCAATCCTATTTTTTAGATTCAGTGGAGTATTGACATGCCTATGCTCACCTAATTTGGCAGGAAAAAAACAATTGGGGGTAAGGTGGTAATTTCTTTCACCCCAAAGTCAGATCTATTATCCAGCCCAACATGCAGAGACAGAAACTCATCTATTCTGTTTCGAAGAGTGGAAAAATCATGGTGTATGTTATTTGTGTTATATCAGCTGGGTTCTGGCCTTGGATTTACAGCTCTCACTGTACCCCAGTTAAGTTATAAAACCAGAGAGATTGCCTAGTCACAGACTTGAACTTCCTCATAAACTGTGACCTTTCCAAAAAAATCTTAAGTTTAAATAAGCACACAAAATCACGGCCGCATTTTTGTTCCAGTAAACAGATTCTCTTGCATTTGACATCAAACATTAATCAAGGAAAACAAAAACAAAAA